TTATTTCATTTAATGTCATTTTATAATGCTTAGTAACTGCTTCAGTATATAACAGCTTAAGGTGAACATTGTCATTTCCGTTTTTAGCTAACTTGACATTGAGTTACATTGGTCAACATTGTCCCCATTTTTCACTTTAATTAAACCATTTTAACATTAAATAGTCCTTATATCGCACTTACTGCTTAACCAATGTGTGATACCCAATACTTGTCAAGAAATAATACTTCTATTAAAATGTGAATCTACCACAATGTAATGAATGAATGCACTGTTTCCATAAAACGAATAAGTTAAGCTTTAAAGTCGCTATGTGCCACCAAAACAATCAAACGAATGAACAAAATAGGGACAAATGGAATCCTTAAAGAATGATTGAGCCAAAAAACCAACATGGCAAAAGTACAGTTACAAGTTTTGAACACAATAACCTAAATGATGCATTTGTCATTTGTTTTATATTTGAAAAGTTTAAAACATTGCGTTTCTCTATGTATATCTTCTTGAAACGGTTAAATCACGCAAATATGACAAACAAGAGCAACAAGGAAAGGCGGTGTTCAATGAACGCAGCCCTACACGACCCAGCAAAAAAGGACCAGCAGCCAGGAGGACCCCAAACAAAAAGAGGACAGGGTCATCATTACAATTACAAATCATTCCTGCCAGTACAACACTACTCGAATGTGTTTGGAAAGATCAGTAACCTTTACTCGTTACCTGTTTAATTATTGATTGTATTTGTTTAATCAAATTTAATTTGGATTGATTGTTACACTTCAAACTTAATTCAAATATTGAAGATACTTACCTATTTTGCATAACGGTAATAGACAATGTTTCTTTTGTATTTATTTCGTTTAGACATCACGAAAGATTAGAAGTACAATGTATATTAAACTTCCATTTAATTACTTACTAATGTCTCTAAGTCTTTAGAATGACAGATTTTGTATAAATAAGAAATATTTTATTTCCCTGAAAAGAAAATGTCCCAGAGGGTTGATAAAAAGCTTTTATAAAAATAGAGTTATTTCGTTGGAGAATGTAACATGTCATCTAGGAATTAAAAATAAAGTGATGATTTATCATGTTGTAAAACAATTTTAAAAATTAACCATTTATGTTTTTCCACATTAAAACAAATAATTTTAAATGAACATACTATGCACCCGGATAGGTTCTATTATTTTGGTTTTACGGTGCTTAAAACAATTTAGATCATATGGCATCGAAACAGGTAAAATGATTTTGATTAACCTCGGGTGATAACTTAAATCAACATCAGGAGTCAAAACAACCTCGCCTACGTGAGGTAAGAGATGCATAGACTCCGGTCATTCAAACCCGTTTAGTTGCCTCTTACGATCACGAAAAGATGGCTGAAATTCTGATGTCTCAACCATTTAAGACATCCCCCCAGGGATACACTTGGATAGTACATTTAAATAATCATAATACAAGATACAAAAATAATTCCATTCCTGCACTCAAAGAAAACGTGTATGTATACTATATGTACGAGTAAGTTTTTGAAATTGGAATCGTAATATATACAATAAATTTGACACGTTTTATTCTCATAAAACAGATATATATTTTAAACATGACTTTATCAACCAATGTTACTGATCACATAACAGACTTTAAGATGTGATTTATCAGGACAGTCTTTCATTTAATGAATTCTATTACCATGGCAACTGTCATTTACAATTCCAATAAAGTCTTGCTTGTTTGATTTATCCGAAATACACTTTGCCGACATTGTAATGAATTCTATGACACAACGGAGCCTATTTTCCATATTTCCTAGTTCATCCACAAACTGAACTTTTTATAATCAGAGTAAATAAAACAGTAAATTCCATACACTCATTGTAATAACTTTAGCTTAAATTACTAAAGAATCAAGTTTTTTTTATTAATCATTATGGTGCTTGTAATATTTAGTTAACTTAAATTTTACGTAAAATAAGAAAGAAACAGTACAGAAATGTTAATCATATATGCCAGAACACCTTACTTTCTAGTAATTATATCACAAATTTTTACTGTAAAATATAATGCAAGTCCATGAAAAAGATGCATAATAACAAGACACTTTTCATGTTATGAACAATCTGTTTTCCAGAAGAATACAAGTCAAGGGATGTTTAGTAAATAAATTTTGTTTTAATGTCCCGCTTGCAGTACTCCTATAATCCTGATAAACTTGATTATAAAAAGTTGCACAACATCAAGCACGCGTAATGGTCTTTTTGTTGTTTGTTATATATCTAGCATTATTATTCTTTATTCATTGATGAAAAGTAAACAGTAATCAGAAACAGTTTGGTATGGTTAAAATAAATCCAAAGTAAAAAGGAAGGCAAATTATGTTGAATTCATAGAAGGGCAAAATCACTTGGAACCTTTTGATTTATCAGTATGTCTATGATCACGTTATCTTTTAATTATAACGTCAAACAAGTCGAAAATGTTTTTGAATTATATATACCAGAATAAAGTTTTAAGATTTTAATAAAAAGGTTAATAAATGATGAGCAAGATTTTCTTTAATGCGTACTTTATTTCCCGGTTGTAAAAAAAGTTAAAACTTATCTTAAAAATTCTAAATCTGCTGACTGGAACTGTGTGTCATGTATGGATGTGGGTGTCATCCAATTAAGACTCATTGGTGAGATGCGAACAACTCAATCCCTTAACAACCTTTTTATTTATAATGATTTTTACGCGTATGGGCTTTATATTGCATTTTAATCCTTCTAAGTCATTGAGTTATATTTTGATACCAGCAGCTGCAAAACAGATGCGAGGAGATTATCATTTTGTGTTGCTTTTATTAATCTCATGGGGTTTAATCACTTTTAAATTAAGTTTTAAAATGTTTAAATATGCATGAAATACTCCTCGTATGCACAATATCAGATGAATTGGTTTTGGTTTGTTTCTAAAAAGTAAGGGAAAATCGTCAAGTTGAAAATTATTAAATTTCATTCGTTGACCGAAATATCGTCCCTCACAGCTGTTGGCTTAAATTCTTTCATGCGTGGAAGATGTTCAGCTTAATCTGTTTTAAGCTGATTGTAGACTTTTAAGGATTCATATCATTTGATGAAGGTAGTCTAATAAAATCTCTTTATCATTTAAGTACTTTTGTAAAATATATTTACTCCAAATTATCAGAAACGTGCTTTGAAAATTCTCACAATTTCCCAAAATTTTAAAGAAAACGTTCACGGTCTTTTACTCAATACGCAATACATAAATTCTTCAGTATTCTGAAAGTAAATTAAAACCTTGAAAAACACCATTTTCCTTTCTGATGTCTTTTCAAAAAATGGCACCGAAAAAAAGAGAAAGCATTTTTTAAATACTAAATTTCTATATACTCGATAACGTGTATTTAGTTACTTTATTCTTTAGGTACGGAGAAATGTATTTAAACAAATATTGTAATTCAAAGTATAATTGTTTAACGAGGACTTTGATGAAGTATCATAGGGACCGGGTATTATTTTAGTACCTTTATAGATAAGAACCCCTCTTAATAATTCATTATTTATAAAAGGTAATAACACGTTATTTTACTATGAGTAATTAAATACGCCATTGAGAGAACTATGTGAGCAGTACATTGAATCCTATTATGGCTTTCATCTTAATTGCTGTCATATCCGATGCCTTCGGTGAGCCGCGTCACGACAAAACCAACATAATGCGTTTGCGACCAGCATGGATCCAGACCATCCTGCGCATCCGCGCAGTCTGATCAGGATCTATGCTGTTCGCTTACCAACCCTTTTACAAGTATAGAAACTGATAGCGAACAGCGTGGATCCTGATCAGACTGCGCGGATGCGCAGGCTGGTCTGGATCCATGCTGGTCGCAAACGCACTATGTTGATTTTGTCGTGACGCGGCTCTAATGACGATTTTCTGATATCAGCTGTGTGTTCTGATTAACCATTAATCTGCTGAAGGCTTCTGATTATATCCACGCTACCAATGGGGATCAAGATCATTTAGCTCTTCTGTGCGTCAATATTGCTCGCTCTTCAGTCACAAAATATTTTGATTTTTTTCCTAAAGTGATTAATGGTCCGGTTGAAAGGTAGTTTTGTCCATTTAATTTAATTAAGTACAAGCCTAAAAATAAAATGTGAAAACTACTGATAATTACTTAAGTATTTAATCATCACATTTAATAATTAAAATAATAAAAATATACAGCTGTTTTATTTAGAATGTCATATACTTTTAAGATAAGAGCGTGTTTAAGTTTTAATTTGACACCATTTTGACGCAAAAAATATTATTCCTTTATGAAATTAGTACTCTTATAAGTATTATATAAAAACACCAATGATTTAAAATACTACAATCAAGTACATGCTAAATGCGTGATGCTTATCTTCATTTAATTTTCATCTAAGGTATGGTGTTAAAAAGTTCAAATTAGAGACAACATTCGTACAAAACGTTGAAAGCGATTTTTTGTGAATAAATCCGAAATTCACAAGGGAATTAGATATAGGAGAGAACAAAGGCTAAAAATCGTATATCTTGATTTTATTACAAATTTTAATATATTGATATGATAGTTATGCCTGCAGGCAGCTTCGGCTAAAATTAATTAATTGTTTATCAACTGAATCTCCAATAATACACCGAATGTTGGTGTATAAGGACATTTGTAAAATACAATTTTAAAAACTCGGTTGAATAGAAAAAAATATAAATTTGTTTGATTTTTTTTCTTCTTAGAATTTTTTTTTGATTTTCCTTGTTTGTCCATACTTATTTTGATTACAGTAACCACATGGCTTGATCATGCTGAACTATTTGTTCCAGTGCCGTTTTGATTTATTTTAGAAGTAACCACAAAAATGAATCAATCATCAAGGAAGTGTAATGCATTTTGGATATATATCTGTAGCTTAATATTTTATTCGGTCACATGTATCTTTGGTCAAAAAATAATACAAGTGGCCTGGATGGTTCCATTTTCTTCATACAAAAAGAGTGCGTTTGTGTACAATGCGTCTACGTCAGTGGCAGCGTTAGCTCTAGGAATAGAAACCGTTTATAACCAATCTATTTTACCTGGTTATGTGTTCAAGTAAGTTATTTTGTACCGTTACACTTAAATTTCAATAATTTTCTATATCGAAATTGAATTCATTAAGTTATTATTTAAGAAATTATACAAAATGCGTTTAAATATTTCTTACTTGAATAAAATAATTTAGTGACAACAAAATGCTTAAAATAATTATCGCATAAACTCATAAAAATTGAAAATATGTATAATAAAGCTGTCAAAGTTTAAATTTTTACCATGATAAGTCTGCATCAGAACTGAACAAACCTGAAAAGATTTAAACAACATACTTTGTCTCATAGGGATATTTGTTTTAACGTATAAATGAAAACCAGAATAAACCAGTTTAGTCTAATTTAGTATTTGCTTGTAACTAACAAACATTTTATCTTTATCTTTTTTATTTTTTTCATTTAATGGAATAAGACCTAACTAATTTTCTATGAGAAGTTTTTTGAAAGAATGAAAATGGAGAAAAAATTAATTCATGATTTTGAATTTCTCATAAACTGGAACGTCATCACAAAAAAGTTAATTTAAAAATTAAAACCTTTCAGGTAACCTATCAAGACACAATTAAAAATATTGTAGACGCGTTGTGGCTAAGCAAGTTGACAAAACAATAAACAAATTAATAAACGGAACTAGCGTCCATGCCTCCTATCATAAGTTTTAGCATAATATAACATCTAAATATGGCAATGGCTTAAAAAAAATAACACAGAGCCGCGACTAATTAGGACGGTCATGCCGATCAAGCCACGATCTGAAAAAGTATTGGATAGTCGAAATCGGGCAATTTGGCAAATTTTGGTCTTCATTACGACTGTACTACGATGTTCCCTCGTCCAACGCTCTGCTGACACGCTTCTACTACGATGTTACGCTGACCGATGCCGACCAGCGGCCGCGTTTTACTGCGATTATACTACGCTGCTGCTACGACAATCAAGCTCGCAATACGACGCTACGCAGACCTAGACGACTAAACGACGATATCGCTACGACGGTGCCGATCATATCACGCTTGTAGTACGCTTCTGATACGATTTTGGCGATGATATATATATCTTTCTATATTTTTCATTTACTTTCAAACTTCAAACATGAACGGACGTATTAATGCTGATCTGATTCATCTGGCTTTACTTCAGCAAGAACAAATATTGGTTGAAATTGAAATTTTCACAGATTGTTAACAGGCGGAGGCGCAGAAGGTAGCCAAGAAGATACTGGGTACGGCCTTTACCACGTGGTTTACGGGGCATTTTTTTTCAAACTGTTGCAATATGTGCTATGTTCGAAGTCTCAGCTGCAAATGATCGTCAAGTAAAGTGCCGCCCTATATATGTAGTTGGCAGATTATGATTGGTCAAATAGCGGCGCTATAAAAACAAACTGCTACCTGACAGGTCGTGGTATGATCGTCGTAAGGTCATGGTAGGTCTTCGAAGGATCGTCATAAACGTAGAGAGATCGTAGTGGGGACGTAGTAATAACATAGTGGGAACTTTGTAGAAGCGTACTCGGTATGTTCCCGACTGTACTACGCTTTTACTGCGCTTTTACTACAATCATGAAGAAGTATCCACGATGCTTCCGCGCTGTTTGTACGATTACGGCGCTTCTACCACGCTCTTTTTACGACTTTACCCCGATTCTTGTTGGCCACGATCCCGCTACGCTTGTTTTGAGCACGTTCAAAATAAACGTGGCGAGAGCGTAGAGAAGACGCTACCGCGATCATACTGCGCTTATGTAGACTCCACTACGCTTCTCCTGCGATTTGCCACGATCGGCCACGTTTTCGGCCACGCTTTGATCGTAGTACAAGCGGCGTCTATGTGTGAACGGGGGTAAGCATCTGACAGTGGGATATTTTTTTGTATGATGACACCGACCTTTGAAAATCACTATGATAATGGTAAACGCAGAACTGTTTACACGATCCTATAATACAATTACTTTTCTGTAATACTATACCTTAATTTGTATGGTTCCTTAATAAACCAAACAGCTATGATGATGTTTCAAGATATGTGCATTGGTCAGAATAAATTTAATATTGCAAAATCTACATGGCATCTGATGTTTTGTTGAGAATAATTAACTTTGTTCCTTTTAAACAAAATAAATGATAATACAGAAGTATACTCGTTTTATTGACGATTTATTTTTATTACGCTTGTCCTCCCTGGCTTTTGATTTTTGCTATGCAAGTCTCCTTGTCTGAGCCTGCAACATTTACATTTTTTGTCGTTTTTGGCATTCTTTAGGTATTCAATCTTTCTCTATTTTGTTAATAAAGATGTACACTTTATATTTCATTTACAGTGTAACCCCAATAGACACTAAATGTGAGAGTACTGCAAGTATTGGTTCTCTTGTTGATGTTTTGATGCAACAAAAAATAGATGTCGTTATTGGACTTCCTTGTTCGAAATGTAAGTGTTTTCATTCTTGTGACAATGTAATATCATGATAAAATTTCTTATTCTTTGTTTAACTCAATGAGAGCATGATTTTGGGAGAAAAAATCGGATATAGTTTATTTCTGTTCTAGTAAATGATTTGAAATGCATAAAAATGTTCGACCTACTTTGTCCCGTGTGTAGGTCATAAATAGTCGCCCCGTACATTTAATTAAATCAGTTAAATTAACATTCTTGAAGATCGTTCTGTACATTTTTTTTGTGTTTCATAACCTCAAATTCCGATTAAAATTGGGATTATCAAGGAACCTTTTATGTAATACGTTCATGGCGGCGTATTGTTTAAAACAGAGAAAAAAGAATTCTCCAGAAATCGAAAATGCTTTGTTTAAACCTGTTCATGGATCTAATAGGGTATGGGAGCTAGCATGAAGACCCCCTAGCACCGGATTAAGCAGAAATCAACGCTTAAATACAAAAAGGTGAGTTTATGATATTGGAACAACCAACGAAGAAAAGGTCAAATGGAAGGAATTTAAAACACAACAAACACGCACACACCACATTAATGTGCTGAACGATTTGTAAAATAGAGAAAAACAGAATCCCTACAAAAAAACCCAACACGGCAAAATTGAAAATGTTGCAGGTTCGGTTTGATTGAGCCTGTTCATGGACGGTACTGGAAAGTGCAAGATTCCATCCGACCCCTCTAGCACCAAAATTCAACATTTAAACATGGAAATCGTGAAATTTTGAATTTAGCATCCACATACGTGTTCATACGGCGGTCATCATGAAACCTTCAAGGCCTCACGTCAGTGCCATTTCATGAAATGTAAGAATAAAAGATATAATATCTTCGTATAAAGTACGAGCGACCGAGCCTGCAAAATTTTAAATATTGACGTTTTAAGCGTTCTTTAGAGATTCTATTATCCATGTGTCTTACATCTAAATCAGTTTTGATTGAGTTATTTTATAATTAAATGTTTTTTGTTTGTTTGTATTTTTTTTAAAAATATTTCAGTACGCTCTGTGGCTGAACTCCTTTATTACAAAAAAATACCACTTTTTAACTGGTATTCCCAGGAAATTGACGAAAACATATATTACATGTACTATCGGCTCTATACCTTGGATTATTCAGCAGGTAATACTTCAGGTTATCTAGGTACAAATTATTAGATTTGAAACCACCACGGCTATATGAACATTCAATCTGTATAGGTAATTTATCACCGTATATTAGAAACGCATTTTTAATATAAGTGAAACCTATGACAAATATAATTATTAACTATTAAAGTTAAAGATATCACGCAATACCACTACATACTACCTTAATTTAAAAACAAGATTGTTAAATCTTGACATGTAGTTAAAAACGTTTAGTGTTCTTCATTTTACATTGTGAGATTATTTGTTAATATGCCTGACAATGCGGAATCACCTTAAATAAATTATAAACTTTCTGCTCTTTTTTGACACCCGTGATTTGGAAGTAGCGGTAAGCGTTATGAATCATGATTTTTGTGTGTGATAAATTCAATATAAAACACTTTCCAATTTTTGTTTTGAATAATGTAGTTTTTTTTGTTAAAGGATCTGATAATCTGGTGTAAATTTATCACTTCAATTGCAACAATATCATAATGTTTAGTTTTATTTTTGATGATTTATACTAAGTATTTATTCTTACAGTGATCATGGCGTATATTTTTCTGCATGGAAAAGATTTGTTATTGTGTCTATTGATAGTGCCCTTTACAAAAGCGTAACGAATTATATAAAGTGGTATTTAGATAATCCATCGGTGCTTCATATCTATGACGATATCAAAGTTAATGCACCTGAATGGCAGATCGACAAAACCTTGGAAACGATTATCAAAGAAGCAAGAAGTATAACTTTTTATCACACGTTTCAACCATTTAAAGCAATTAATTGATTAAAAATGATTAAAAAACAACAAAACAATCAAAGGTCATCAACCATCAAATCAAAAGATTTTTCAGTTTACCTATGTATATCAAAACAAATTTTTTAGATAAACAATAACTTGATGTTCCTTGTGACAGAAATGATTTAATTTTAGAATATTTAGAAGACTTAATTATTTTGATTTTATGAATCCGTCTATTTACTTTTCATTCATATGCAGTTATAATTCTTGTGGTACCCCGTAAAGAATTGAGAAAGTATATGCTACGAGCTCATAGTTTGGGGATGACAAGAGGAGATTACAAGTTTATATTTGTTGATACAATGGTATATGTTACATACAAAGACTTTTTAAGGGCCATTATGCTTCAGAAATGCTATCATTTTTATTTCTCAAAAACTGATTTTTGGTATCTTGTTACAGTTAAAGAAAAAAAAATTAATAGTTCTAAAGAGTTAAAAGAAAATATGGATTTCTGAAACATAATGTGCTCTAAACAATTGTAAATGTAAACCATTTATAATGATATAATCATATAATTTTACCAAATCATATTTCGTGAGTAACAGTGCCATAACAATTCTTCTTAAAAACAAATGATAATATGTTTTTGTGAGCACATAATTACGAAATGTTTTAAACTAATTACGTAGCTAATAAAAACAACACTTTATCGATTTCCTTTCCACATGATGAGAAATATTAGCAAGAGCGGCACAAAGAAAAAAACTTGAATCCGCCTTTGACACGAATGCTTTCAATTGGCTTGTTTACAGTTAAACGTGCTTATGTTATACATAAATTTATACAGGCTGAAGACAAAGCCTTTCTAAATGGTGATTCGATATGGAACACCGGTGATGATTCCGATTCTGAAGCCCTAAAAGCGTTTCAAAGTGTTATTTACGTAAGTAGTTGAGTTGTACGGTACGCTTTATTTTGTTGTTCCTCTTTAATCACTTATATAAATTTAACAATGCAAAATCGAAATCTAAACAAATCTTATAAGTTCAACATTTGAATACTTCGTAATGTCCTAAATTACTTGATTTTTATAGATATTCGAAAATGCAAAAATGTAATGTTCCCATCAGTGTCGAAAAGAAGCTTGTTTTAAAGATGTTTTAGTTTTGGAGTCTGCAAATCAGTCTTTGAATGGTAAGTTTGATATAATGTTTACTCGTGCAATTTAAATATATCTTAATAATACTAAGTTATATATGAATTGTAAAAACTTGCTTTATGGTTATTATAAGGTATAAATATGTTGAATTTTTGTGCGTTTATTTGTTTCTTAGATTGTAGGCAGGATGGAATTTCAGAATATATCAATTTGGGGAACAGCAGCATTGGAGGCTTATAGTCGTGTTTTTTCTGATAGCGCTGGTATTCCTGCACCAACTTACGTAAGTTGCTACATACATATATTGATGAATACATGCAAGTTTTCTAACACTTATTGTACTTTTTTCCTGAAATAGGATTCAGCAATACAAAACTGTACCGTTTTGTTTGACATTCTATATAAAGAAAGAGTATACCCATCATACGATAAATGAACACAAGAATGTAACCTTTTACCAGCTTTTCCAAATTTTACCAAATTAGATGATTAGAACAGTCAATAATAATAAACTGAAAAGCATTTTCGTATTAATAACGGTAAGGATTGTACAACGAAACCGAAAACTTAAAAAACATAACATTCAACAATTTTTTGTTCATTTAATGAAAACAAATATATTGTTTTAGCTCATAAGCTGATGTCGAAACTCGAGTGAAATCTTATAGGATTAATCGGTACCTCAAGTATTTGCGCATGATTAACGAATTTTCCGGTTGCATGGTGTATGCCCTTGAATAAAAACGCATTTATTTTTGTGTCTCCTACTTCACAGTAGCTGGTAGCCGCGACATAAATATAATTTCCCAGGGCGACACATGCGATCACTGATAGGTTTTTATATAGCTATATATTTAAATATCAAAAACGTGACTCTTGTTGCTAAGTTTATGTAATGAATGCCGACTCCTAATTTACTAAATCAGAGACATTAACATAGTTTTATTTAACTTTAAAAAAGCCCGATCGTTTCTCTGGTCTTCTACATGACGCTTTTGTTATGTATGCAAAAGCATTGAATAAGTCACTTGAGGCCGGCAATAACGTATCTGTGATGGAAACGGCAAAGACAGTTATCTTCACAGGTAAATGTTGCATATTTCTGTTTTATGTTTATTAAATGTTATAAGAGATATTTATCCATTTTTACACCTAATCAATGCTTTGGTAATATTGCAATACAACTGCACTTACACTTTTTATGAAACGATGCTGTTTTAGATAAGAAAGAGAAATACAGTATCACTAAAGCACATTCAAAACAGCAAAATTAAACATGTCGCAGGCTCAGGTATGAGTATAAGTCTGGTATGTGTATAAGAATACATGTGAGAAAAAAGAAAATCCGAATTTGAAATTGAATAATGCATATAATTAATTGTAACAAATAAACTTTTTATACGCCCACATTTGGCGTATATTGTTATGCTCTTCGGCGTCCGTTCCGTCTGTTATAAATTTCATGTCTGCCTTGTATCTTTTGAACTATTGAAAGAAAAACTACTTTGAACCATAATGAGTCATTGTGCAGAACGCAGGTTTGACATTCCTAAGGTCAGTCAAGGTAAAGGTCACACGTAAGTCATTTTGTATGAATTATAGAATTTCGTGTCAGCTTTGTAGGAGGAAATTGAAACTGTTTGGCAGAAAAATAAACAATAATAAGTTGAATTGTGGAATGCAGGTTTGGGATCCCTTATATCAAAGTTTGCCCTAAGGGATCATTTGATTAATATAGAATTATTTGGACTTTAACAGTATTAATATTAACTTATATTGACGTATGTATAATATATTAATACACTTGTTACTATATATAGTAACAAAATTGCTTATGATTTCAACTGATTATGAGTGTCACGTGACCTATTATGAGTTTGCGGCCCGGGGCCGAGAACTAGTTATCAGCCCGCAGAACATGTACACGTGCACAAACTGAAACAATGACGTCATATTTTACGTCATCAAACAGTTAACTGTAAAATTGAAAGTAGGTTGTCAGCACGAATCGCTTTATTTTTATTATGAGAGCTTAAGCGTATTTAGTACAAACACATTTTTGTTACTATTGAAATTTGAAGAAATAATACGACAAATTTATTCCGAAAAAAATGAAAATAAAACTTGCTTCTAGATTCTACTGCTTTGAACACACAAACAGTAAACATCTCTGTACAGAACAGTAGAAGAGTAGACAAGAATTTCAACGAAAGAACTTTGTTTGTTTTTTTTTTCTTTTCTTTTTTTAAATGCTACTATTAGATCATCCAAGTGTATTAAAGACATTAATACACGTCAGAGTAGGGCCGGAAGGTGATAATCGGCCCTAAATGAATAATGGCCCTCGGGCTAAAGCCCTCGGGTCCATTATTCATTTTGCGGGCCGATTATCACCTTCCGGCCCTCACCTGCCGTGTATTAACCTCTTAATAAACTCAGTTGTCCTTGTTAAAACTATAATACTCAGAGCTTGTATATTTTACATGACACCCTGTGTACTGTAGTAGTCCTCTACAAAATTTTATAGAAAGATGCACATAGGATAAAAATTGCTCAAACCTTTTGGGTATTTAAGTATTTTAAAGATGATAAAGATTGATTCTATTTCGTTCAAGTTTCGTTAATGGGTATCTTTCCTAATCGAAAGATTTTCGTATATTGCCTAAACGGAGCTCTTTTTATCCAGCATTAAAACTTTGAGTAATTTGTTAAGCATAAATATCCCTCATGAGCAATTTCGATCAATTTTATGATCAAATGCTGTTTATATAATTATTTTAATAAATGTGTGTTTATAAATTGTGTTTTATACTTCGCTGCGAGGGAAGAAGTCTATACTTAGTATATGTAATATGGCATTTTTTCATGCATCTTTGCAAATTTTAGTTATTGTGTTGCTATTTAATGTAAACCTAAATCTAAAACATTAACAGTATCTCTATTCACAGGTTTAACGGGTGATGTTACACAATATATTGGCTTAGGCAGGATAACTGATTCAGCTGTATACGAAATGCAAAATACCAGTGCATTCGTAAAGATTTTAGATTTAGACATTAGCATAATAAACGATTCGAAACGAAATATTGTAATTATTAATTTAATTATTAATTTGACTATAATTATTTCGTACAGTAGGTTTTATTATATAAGTAATTATTGATGGAATCTAAGCGGAATTAGCTAACATTATATTTTCAGTTTCAAATTGATTTGTTATCCACGTTTCCTTTACCTGATTTGATTTATTTTTTTAACATATTGTGTGACGATGATGTACACTTTTTTCCTGTCAATAGCTTATTTATTGCCGAAGATGTGATAACAATTAGTCAAAGGCATATACTATTTTTATAATAGAGTTTAATGAGATACACTTAAAATTGCTTGTTTAAGTTTATACTTAATCATGATTATACTGTAAATGACATATGGCAATATTCTAGCTAAAATTGTGGAAGATGACCTCATTTGCCTAATAAGTACATGCACCTGAGTAAAACCACAAACCTCCCGTAAGCTAGCTGTGTAGACTCCTTATATCAAAACACCCGAGATCTCTGGCCGATTCGAACCAATAGTGTTAAAAGGGAAGTGAAGTTAAACGACTTTAACCACTGAACAATTGGTCTCTACGTTGAAATAAAAATATCGTATAAATCGTCTTTTTAAACTTGCAATAATCAAACAACTACATTGTGCATAAAAGCAAGTTTTTTTAAGAGGTCACCATTCAAGAGTATCAAATAAAAGTATTGTAAAGCAAATTAAACCTTGTTAAAGGCATTTCAAAAAAGATGATAAAGACAAAACAATATTTCATGTACGTGCATACCTCTTAGGAATATTGGCCGTTTGTGAAAAGCATGTTTAGATTTTGAAGAAAAAAATATGAGGAATATAGATAGGTTCGAGGTCGATATAACTGTTATCAGATCAGAAAAAAGCTATATATTGACCGAAACATAAATCTATAATCGTTTGGAAAATCCCAGCTTTGTCGTTTTCAAATGCGCCGCGCAATGAAGATGAGAACCTGTCTGGCGGAGCCATTCGAGGTAATATGTTGACTCCCATATTCAAAGCGCTGCGCATTTGAATACGACAAAGCTGGGAGCCAATTTTTAACTTGACGAAAGATTTTGTACGAGTAAATGGAGTAAACGGAATTAATATGGATGTTTTTTTCGCCTATTGTGTTGTTTATATTGATGTTGAAGTTTAAATTGTCCATCATCGTGGAAAATAACATCCTCTGTGCCGATGGCCAAAAGGATTATGTGAAAATATTGGAAATGGTATAAAATGCATGGTGATTTTGAGCCTAGGTATGCGGGCGACCATGTCTTGTCTGTTATCATAGACGTTGAAATATGAAATTTATATAAAGTTTTTTTTTTATATATAATTATGATCAGTACATGTGCTGGGATTGACAAAGATATACAATGTATTTTATTTAGATTTTTAAGGCGTTTTGAGCTTCACACCCCAAGTATCTGTGCTACAAGTAGTTACTATATATAGTAACAAAATTGCCTATGATTTCGACTGATTATGAGTGTCACGTGACCTATTATGAGTTTGCGGCCCGGGGCCGAGAACTAGTTATCAGCCCGCAGAACATGTGCACGTGCACAAACTGAAACAATGACGTCATATTTTACGTCATCAAACAGTTAACTGTAAAAGTGAAAGTAGGTTGTCAGCACGAATCGCTTTATTATGCTCCCCGAAAAATTTCGGGGGAGCATATAGTCGTCGGGTTGTCCGTCCGTCTGTCCGTCCGTCAGTCCGTCAGTCCGTACGTACGTCCCGAATTCGTGTCCGGCCCATAACTTTGTTATTTGAAGTCGGATTTTAAAATTATTTCACAGAAATGATCACCATATTGAGACGACGTGTCGCGCGCAACATTTGGGTCGCTACCTTGAAGGTCAAGGTCACAGCATGACCTTGCAGCAAAATCGTGTCCGGTCCATAACTTCATTATTTGAAGTTGGATTTTAAAAATATTTCACAGAAATGATCACCATATTGAGACGACGTGTCGCGCGCAACATTTGGCTCGCTACCTTGAAGGTCAAGGTCACAACATGACCTTGCAGCAAAATCGTGTCCGGTCCATAACTTCATTATTTGAAGTCGGATTTTAAAAATATTTCACAGAAATGATCACCATATTGAGACGACGTGTCGCGCGCAACATTTGGCTCGCTACCTTGAAGGTCAAGGTCACAGCATGACCTTGCAGCAAAATCGTGTCCGGTCCATAACTTCGTTATTTGAAGTCGGATTTTAAAAATATTTCACAGAAATGTTAACCATATTGAGACGACGTGTCACGCGCAACATTTGGGTCGCTACCTTGAAGGTCAAGGTCACAGCATGACCTTGCAGCAAAATCGTGTCCGGTCTATAACTTTGTTATTTGAAGTTGGATTTTAAAAATATTTCACAGAAATGATCACCATATTGAGACGACATGTCGCGCGCAACATTTGGGTCGCTACCTTGAAGGTCAAGGTCACAGCATAACCTTGCAGCAAAATCGTGTCCGGTCCATAACTTTGTTATTTGAAGTCGGATTTAAAAAATATTCCACAGAAATGATCACCATATTGAGACGATGTGTCGCGTGCAACATGTGGGTCGCTTCCTTGAAGGTCAAGGTCACAGCATGACCTTGCAGCAAAATCGTGTCCGGCCCATAACTTCCCTATTTGAAGTTAGATTTAAAAAGTATTTCACAGAAATGATCATCATATTAAGATGACGTGTCATGCACAACATTTAAGTCGCTACCTTGAAGGACAAGGTCACAGCATGACCTTGCAGCAAAATCGTGTCCGGCCCATAACTTCCTTATTTGAAGTCAGATTTTTAAACTATTTCACAGAAATGAACACCATATTGAGATGACGTGTCGCATGCAACATTTGGCTCGCTACCTTGAAGGTCAAGGTCACAGCATGACCTTGCAGCAAAATCGTGTCCGGCACATAACTTCATTATTTGAAGTCGCATTTTACAACTTTTTCACAGAAATGATCACCATAATGAGACATTGTGTCGCACGCAACATTTGGGTCGCTACCTTAAAGGTCAAGGTCACAGCATGACCTTGCAGCAAAATCGTGTCCGGTCCATAACTTCGTTTCTTGTAGTCGGACTTAACAACTATTTCACAGAGATGATCACCATATTGAATCGACGTGTCGCATGCAACATTTAGGTCACTACGTTGAAGGTCAAGGTCACAGCATGACCTTGCAGCAAAATAATGTCAGGCGCATAACTTTGTTATTTGAAATCGGATTTTACAACTATTTCACAAAAATGATCACCATATTTAGACAATGTGTCGTGCACAATATTTGGGTTGTTTTTACACTTTGAACTTTGTCTGTGACATAACTCTGACACAACAAGAGGTATACCTTCCTGTGTCCAAAACCTATTCGGGGAGCATCACCCGGTTCAACCGGCTCTTGTTTTTATTATGAGAGCTTAAGCGTATTTAGTACAAACACATTTTTGTTACTATTGAAATTTAAAAAATAATACGAGCATTTCATTCCGAAAAAAAATGAAAATAAAACTTGCTTCTAGATAGATTATACTGCTTTGAACACACAAACAGTAAACATCTCTGTACAGAACAGTAGAAGAGTAGACAAGAATTTCAACGAAAGAACTTTGTTGTTCTTTTTTTTTCTTTCTTTTTAATGCTACTATTAGATCTACTAAGTGTATTTAAGACATTAATACACGGCAGGAGAGGGCCGGAAGGTGATAATCGGCCCGCAAAATGAATAATGGACCCGAGCAACATAAAACTCAACAGGACAAGGATTACAAACAAAGTAACTGATTCCAAATTAATTTCAGATGGAAAAGGGAGCGAGATCTTTTGAAAATGACTTGGAAAATTGAATACGGCGATTTAAACTTTGATAACAGATCGAGGAAGATGCACTCATCTGAGGTACAAATATTCTTGTTAAAATTGCAGACAGTACATTAAATTGTTTAAGATAAATCTTGTACAAAAGGCATTGCTTTTAGATTTAAATAAGATATAAGTGCTTATAAAATAAGCATATATATCTTATAAAATATAAGATATCATTTATAAATAACACTACGATATGGTAAAAGGATTTTTAATGTTAATTATGAATGTTTCATTTTTCATCTCAGTCAAATTGATCGAATACAGGCAAAGTCACATAAGCTTTTGTTGTTTATATATGACAAATGGTATATATTCTTGTAAAGCACTTTTTCAGGACTTTGATAACCAGTGTGGTAGCAATATAAACCAGTCAAGGGATTTAAAGAGTCGGACGTCAAGTGTTCAATCTGGTAAAAGTTCCGTCGGTTTTAGACAAGTGTTCACTAACGTTGCAATATTTCAAGGGGAAATAGTTGCAGTGAAATATAGTTCTTTGAAGAAAGTTCGTGAAGATAGGGATTTCTTATTGCAAATGAAATGTGTAAGCGTTTTTTCTAATGTTGTCCGAGGAGTGTTCAAATATGGATGTACACAAGCACACACAATTTGATTTTCTATAGAGTTCATTGAGTTTTTTTATATTGCTTACTCAAATTTTCACCTCCAACAGATGAACGAAGTTTCAATATTTAAAGGCATTTTCATAGTGTTTTCAGGTATACTGTGAAGACACTTGAATATTGCAAAACTGACAGGTTTGAGCTAAAACCATATCCGACCTGATATAGAGACTTTTTTCTGCTTCATCAAGCGTTGAACTGTAGACGCCTTGTGCGATGACGCATTGTCATGCAGTAATCTAAAATTGGTCAAACCTTTAGCGGGTCTTCGTTTGGGGAAGTATTTGCATAGTTTTCGGAATATTTTGTCTTGTAAAATTTAACATTAACAGATTTGCCTTTAGGATTAGCAACTCGAATGGCGGGACCTTTATGAGGACAGTGTAAGGAGTCAACTAGTGATCAATACTACCACGTAATTGCAAAGAAAATAGCATACATAACATTTTTAATACTGATGATTCTTATACTTGAATACTGTATAATCACCCTATGTTGCCTGCTTTTTAAATTTGTCTTTTGACGTCTTATCTGTAATATGCAGGCTTCATAACCTCAGATCCCTTTAAAAATTCCATTTTATTTAGTCCTGCTCATTGTTTTCTCGTTTAGGGCACACGCATTCTTTTACTTGGGGACCATACGCCGCTTTTCATGGAATGACACTGTGTCACATTGAAGGTTCCATGATAACCGCCGTATGAACACATCTGCGGATGTCTCTAAATTCAAAATATCTGTTTTTCACTATTTCATTGTCACATCCGTGTTATTTGTGCCGTGTGGAGGCTGTAAAAAGTCTCCCCATACATTTAATCAATGATGTTATATTTTCGATCCTTGAAGATCGTTCAGCACATTATTGTTGTGTATACATTTAACATGGTATTTTTAGTTTCTTGTATTTGGCCTTTTTCAATTTGGGTGGTTCCAGTATTCCTACTTGAATACTGAATAATCACCCTTAGGATATGTTGCCTGCTTTTTAAATTTGTCTTTTGACGTCTTATCTGTGATATGCAGGCTTCATAATCTCAGATCCCCTTTCAAAATTCCATTTTATTTAGTTCTGTCCATTGTTTTCTCGTTTAGGGCACACGCATTCTTTTACTTTGGGACCATACGCCGCTTTTCATGGAATGACACTGTGTCACATTGAAGGTTCCATGATAACCGCCGTATGAACACATCTGCGGATGTTTCTAAATTCAAAATTTAGTGTTTAAATGTTGAATTCTGCTTAAGGCGGTGCTAGAGCGCGTGGACGGTAACTTTCAATTTCCATTACCGTCCATGAACAGACTCAATCAAACCGAGCCTGTAACATTTTACAATTTTGCTGTGTTGGGCATTCTTTAGGGATTCTGTTTTCACTAATTTCTTTTTGTAATGCAAAGTCTTTTGTTAAACATTGTTGCAAAAATCTTGTTTTAATGTTTTCTGTTTTGTTTTTAAAAAGGAACCAATGTTTCGTTACCAGTGACAACATTTGCAAAAGACCGTTGACATTTGGATACTGTTTCAACAACAATTTTACGCAATTCACGCGCGCCTTTTCTGCTCATTTATCCGCAAATGGGGAACCAATCTAGCGCGGATCTCTCTCATTTTCAAGTCACGTTTAGGAATGTTATGAGCTGTTCGTAACGAGATGCCAACTTTACTAGCTATCTGCCTTGTGGTGTATCTTGCATCTGTTTTAACTATTATTTTACTAGAGCAACCATCTTGACAGACGTTGCTGATTTAAGCCGACTGTCAAGGGGTGTATCTTCAGTCGAAATTAATTTTAACATTTGAATATATTAAACCAACGAATAACTGATGAAAAAAACATTTAATTTTGTCCATAAACAGTACAGATACTATCAAAATGTCAAGGAAACATGGGCTCTTAATATATCGTTTTTCAATGGCATACTCTATCTTCAACAGTTTTTGGAGTAGACAATGTAAAGTGAGCTATAATCACAACTAAAGTGATCAGATTTTAATAAATAGGTATCAACTTAAAGATAACATGCACGTATATTATCTCATCCTATTATTTTCATTCGCAATATTGAACAATATAACGTTTTAGATGCAGTCATATTTGTTCACTCCTCGTATGCTAGCATAACAAAGTAAAATTATATCTTTTATCACACAAAGGTTTCTCTCCACGAGGAATAGGACATAGATATATGTTTTTGGCAAGGTAATCAATAATTTAAGCACATGATTATTTTCACAGATATGATGGTAAAACTACAATTATGTCACAATCATCAACATTAAAAATATAATCAATTGCCATTTTGTTATCACTGTAAGCAGTTCTTTTACATTCCAGTTAAAGGAAATAAAACATGACAATCTTGTTATGTTTATCGGTGTTTGTTTGTCTTCGGAGAAAGTATGTTCAGTCTGGGAATACTGTAAAAAAGGAAGTATACAGGTAAAAGATACGAATAAGCTGTACAATCACAGGTGTATTTTTCTCATATTGAGAATTGTTTTCATTGTACTTTTAGTTCCTTCATTTTCACTTTCATATAGGTAGTTCCATTATTCCTACAAGAAACTTGTTTAATAATCACTCCTGCTTTCGCTTTCTAAATTTGACTGTGATATGCAGGGGTTATAACCTCTTATTTTCTCTGAAAATTCCATTTTGTTCAATAGTTTTTATGAAAGAATTTCTATTCTCCATAAATTTGGTTACTTATAAGACCGTAATTTTTCAACATATGAATCGAAGAAATCATTCATCATATTTACTTCTTTGCCTTTTTGATTGTCAAATACGTTTGTAAGGTTCTTTATTTTCTATTTTTTCAGGACATTATAGGAAATGAAAGTATTCGACTCGATGCCATGTTTAAACTTTCTATTGCAGTTGATGTGTGTAAGGTAAAAAACATAAACAATGATAATTATGTTGAAACAAAACATATTAAACCAGTGTAGTAATTCTTGAATAACACACTTGTTTTTGTTTAGGATTTGAAATGTTCTTTTGTCAGATTTGTGTCGATATAATTTCAAAATATAAGCAAATCGATTTAAACGGAATTTTATATTCTTACTCGCGCCAAAGGTTGTGTTGTTGTACAATAACATTCATTATTGTAATAGGTGATTAATATTATATAGGGTCGGGTGCAAAATTCTCTGAAAATGGTATTCTATTTGTTTCAATGTCCATTATTATTGGCAGCCATCTTATCTTACTTTACTTTTATTTAATAAAAGGGATTAGACTATATCCACAACAACAAAATAATACGCTGCCATGGTAATTTGAGAAGCTCGAACTGTGTTGTAGATAGCCGATGGGTTTGTAAATTGACACATTTTGGTATTGAGAGACTTACACCAGCTCCGGAAACTCAACAATCGATTGGAGAACATGCTTTTTATACAAGTTCGTATATTATATACCGAAACTTATCTCAGTACTACACTATTTACTTAACATAATTGTTCTTTTTGTTTTAAATGTGATGACCAATTCAACGACATTTTTCATTGTAGAACGTTATTGTAAATATATTGTTCATGCTTTCTTGCTGATGTGCAACATAAAGAACGTTTATGAAAAAAATCGATTAAAAGCCTCCTAAGGTATTTCACCCATTGATGAGAAAAGATGCTAGTTATGTTGTAATGATTCATAGTTTAACATATCGTTTTTAGAATTGTTCTGGACTGCACCTGAAATTTTACGCAAGATATTCCTAAAGAAAGAAATTGAGAAGACACCCCAATCTGACGTTTATTCTCTTGGTGTGATTTTGATGGAGTTGGTTTGTAGAAGTGAACCATATAGTTCACACCAAGATCTCAGTCCAAAAGGTAAAATATAATTCGTGTGAATTAAAAAGTTCCAACTTACGTTATTACAGATTTGAATCTCTTTGAAATTTTACCATATCATTAAAACACTTATTATATATATATAATAAATTTTGTAATGAGTATGAATTTCATATCAAAAAATGAAATTGTTAAAGTATGCTATTTATACTTAAAATGTTTCAACTTAACCTTCTATCAATATGAACCTTCACTTAAAGCAGCTTTGACCATGTAAGCAATAAACTGTCCTGTTTTCTTCTGCAGAAATTATTCTTAAAGTTGCACGGTCAAGTACTGGAAACAACATATTTAGACCAATCGTCTCGGACAATATGCTGGACCTTGAATGTAGTGGAATAGGAATTATTCGTTTAATAGAGAATTGCTGGACTGAAAACCCAAATTCAAGACCAAGTGCAAAGAATGTTCTCAAAAAACTTTTAAAGATAAGCCCATTTAAGTAAGATTGTACCTAACAATTTCAAATTAATATTAAGTGTTTTTTTTTTTAAAATATTAGACAGAACAATTACTCATACATTTTTAAATTAGGCATTGTATGAATTTTGACCGAAAACAAACGACACAGATTTCTTTTTAAAGTGAGTAGGTCTATTGTAAAATGTTTGTAATACAATAAATATTTGCATTCAATTTAGAATTTAATACATGTAGAATTAAATGAAAGAGATACTAATAGAATTTAATATCAGAGATAACCACAAAATGGTTATGTTTTGATATTGTTGGCAAGTACGAAATAAATTATACTAAATAACATATCTGTGTCATCAAACCAAATGACTTAGAACTTTATCATCGAAATTGTTTATTTCTATTGTTTTATTAATAATTGAAATACTTATGGAAAATGTGCCACTTGTAGTCTAATTCACTTTGATTTTTAATTTATATTTAAAGCTTTTCAATTGTTTAATATGTTTTGCTTGGATTGAAAATTATAGTGTCTAAACGTTTGCTTCAAGTTACTTATAATTTGTTTGAAAAGTAAACTTGTTTTGTTTTCCTTTCCATATTGCTTGATACATAAGGAAGCTTTGCTTTGTTGATAATATGATTTTAATGATGGAAAAATATACAAACGATCTGGAAACTATTGTCTGTGAGAGAACACAGCAGCTTGAGGAAGAAAAAATAAAGACCGAAACACTTCTCTATAGGATGCTGCCAAGGTCAGTAACTTAATTCTTTGCAATCAATACGTCGAATATTGCTGAACATAAACGCATATAAAACATATATAAGATTTCTATAATGGGTATTCTTTAAATGTATGTACAAACGATGTTATATTTTGAGATTAGTATGCATTGGTGAGTACAATACTAAATTTAATCGCACGGGCACACCGCTGTCAAACTATCTAGGAAGAGGTGCAAGCCGAGTTTATCTTAGTAAGAGTCCAATAGAATCAGTTTTGTTTTGAACAACGTTAATTAATGACCTCTTCATTCACACAGGTTGTCAGATCTTTATTACTTCAAGTGCAATAAGGACTTGATTTTTGTACTGTTTAACTTTCTTAACTAGACTTTATGAGAAACGATATGCATTTTTAATTTTAAACTTACTTTGGAAATGAAAACGAGGTTAAACTGATAATATTGAATCCAAAAATGGTACATCATGTGGTGCAAACGCTAAAAATCATCTGTTATATTTCTTTTATCTGTTAAATGGCCTGTAATTAAAGGTTGTATGTCAAAATGTAAAGGCCTTTAATAAATAATCAAGCACATACACTAGTTTTCTTTTTCATTTTTGCAGAAAAATTGCCAATGATTTAAAGTTGGGAAATACTGTACAAGCTGAAGCATACGAGTCGGTGACAATTTATTTCTCTGATATAGTGCAATTTACAAACATTGCTAGTGAAAGTACGCCGTTACAGGTATAATTTCTGAATATTTAAAGATATTCTGTGCTCAAATTTTATATTAGAAAATATTTATAATTGCTACAGTGTCTCTTTGTTAATATAAAATAAACATGTTTTACCTTCACTCAAAGTAGATATGTTTAAAATCCTACACACTATAGCTGGTCACAATATGAATATGTATAGTATAGTCATTAAAAAACTGGCAGTTTTTTTATTAAATAAATAGCAACTTGACTTGACCTGTCACATACATAGTACAATGTATACTTATTCTTAGATTTAAATTGGACAAAATCAATAACAATTTCATAGATTGCAATACATTGCTGTGATTAAAATATTTTACTCATGGATGAGAAAAGTATGTCTTTAAAAGTATTTCTTTTTTTAGTTTCCATCTCCATGGATGAAAATATAATTTGTCTCTTTAGGTTCTCCAGGATTGCAGGATAAAAGCAGTATTTGTAAATTGTTTGTTGCTATTGTATAACAGATCAGAAACATTTTTACTGAACCCAACCAAAGCATTTAAGGTATTCAGTTACAATATTACGCAGAGCACTTAATTATCTAAAGGGAAAGACAAGGTTAGAATAAAAACTTGATTTCAGAAAAAGAATACTATAAATAATAAATCTGCAAATTTTCTGCCGCCAAATAATAATATTAAACGAATTATAACAAAATTTAAATCGCTTAATCACCGATTTCTACAAATCAGTAAGCGCGGCCATGTTTGTGTATTGGCCGTATAAAAACAGGTGCGCGTGATGTCATTTCCCCACATCTTTAGATTTATGATAAATCTAGTTGAATCGGAGGGAAATATTAATATAATAAAGTATTGACCAGACAATTTAATTTTCACAGGAGGTGTAGAGGAGATTTTTTTATGGTTCAAAATACGTAACAATATCCAAAAAATAAAAAAACAATAAAAAATTAAGAAACAAAAAAGTCAACGTCTACCGGTCGCACCACTTCATGCCAGTGATGCCCGTTACTCCAAACAATGCTATGTTCATATTAAAGTCTCATCTTAATGTAATTAAACAATATTTCAGAGATTTAATAAATACACATTTTATTATTTAACATAGTTTTACAATCAAATAATGCAATTAAATAAACAAACGCACCAACGAATAAATGGCTGTTAATTATTGAATGGCGATAATTACCATTATTATTAAAATCCTACCAAAACGTGTTCTTAATAGTACATGTAATTGAATTTTTGCAGTTTGATTCTGACTTTCAAATTAAAAGGTGTGAACATATGTTATAATTGATGTAGACATTTCAAAAATATAAGCAATTCTTTTGAAAGTAAATTGTTAACATGTCTGTCAACGTATGAAGCTGCGCATCGTTATCGTAGCCTAATATTAACTGCAGGCAAAACATTTTTATTGGCTGCTCAAAAATCTAATTTGCATAATTTATTCACACAATTGCTTGTTCTTACTACTTATGTTTAATACTGTGCATTGTCCATTTTAATTGTTCCTAATTTGCACCAAATGTTCCTGTCATACTGTGTACTGACGATTTTTATTTCTCCTTGTATGCCTCTGTGCCGACAGACCTTTTGATCATGCACAATGTTGCCCTGATTGGTTAATCACCCTTGTCAAATATTCTAATGACGAAATAGACATCTATTTTTTTTACGCTTCATCAGTGAACTGAATGACCTTAGGGGAAATTAAGTTCCACACACTATTAAATTATACTGTAAATTACAGCATGTCATAAAATAGCAACACATTTTTTTCAGTTACCAATAATCATTTTAAATATTAAGTAGATTCACGGTTTTATATTGTAATGTAAATCCGTGGTAGATTAATGATGTTTTGTTTCATTGGATTAAATTTACTGTAGTAGAAATGCGTATCTGTGTGGGAAAGGAATTGGGAAAGTAGATAACGTGGAAAAAAGCTATAAGGAACTGGATTAACCCGAGAATATGCGTAATTACAGGGGAATGGGCAACTTGTTGCTGTTGGTACCAGTTTTGACTGGGTGCCTAAATACCCTTACGGACAGTTTTGTTTTCATATGATATTAGTCTGGCTGCCGATTTTCCTGTGCAATTCTCATTTTTAGCGTCAATGGCTGAAAATCTGGTCCTCAGCAGATCGCTGCATATTGGATTTAGTTGATATTTTACGCTGAAAAAAAGATACATGACCGTCGATGTACCCTATTCGGACAGCTTGTCTAGCGAAAATTAAGTACAAAATAAAAGGATATATCGTCAATTTGAAGAAGTTTATCACAGTACCCAAATTAAATTGATGGTTTATCTTTGAAAATTTAGCAGTAATTGCTTAAATCATGTGGTGGGATCATCAGCAAGCTTGAAAATCGGAAAAATGATAATTAATGTCGCGGCGTCTTCAATTAATTAATTAAAGCAATTCAGTTTCATATGATGTTTTCATAAATAATATATAATGTACGCAATAAGATTAATAAGTTCTTCATCAAGATATATTTCAGTTGTACCAGCGGGTACACCTATACCGGAAGTGGGTGTAACACGTCTTAATCTCGGTCTCGTCTGTCTCGCGAGAATGACAGAACGCCAAAATGGCGGCGCCCATGAACTTATTTGTCAAGTAAAAAATAGTGTCTTAAAACACGAATTTCTCACTTATAGGATTGATTTCAACAGACAAACTGTCATGGTACCTCTTTTTAAATGATGAATATTTAAATTAGACAGACATCAATCCATCCATTCTTATTCCTTTAAAATAATGAGGATGCATTTGTTATTGCAGATTGTATGCTTATTGAATGAATTATACTCCTTATTCGATGAAATAATCAGCAGCTATGACGTCTATAAGGTTTGTTATGTTAATATTGTTAAGTGTAATGATATCTCATGAAAATGACCTGTGAAATGAAAGTAAGTTAATGCATTTAAAACAACTTTGAATTTTGCAATTTTAGTATCAAACACTGTTATTGTAATATGATACAATGAATAACGTTATAAACTGAATAACATTATTTTAGGCGCTTTGAAAAGTATCTTGTTTTTATTATATATATCACTTACGGATATCTTAATTATTTGGAAAATATGAGTATATTAACAAACTACAAACACTTAATATGTAAGCCTTTTCGTGTAAGAAAAAAATCATATTTATATTTTATTATTGATAATTATACCTAAAAACTTGGTAATAACTAGTTTTCTTATATGGAATTCAACGTGAAGGTGGAAACCATAGGCGATGCATATATGGTCGTGAGTGGTCTTCCGGAAGAAAATGATAATGAACATGTCAAGGAAATTGCCAGAGTATCAATCAAGATACTTGCTGGTGTTCTTACATTTAGGATCCCACATAGAACACAAGAGCAGCTAAGGATAAGAATAGGTATTTCTTTTGTCTTTATACGATAGCCTTATGGCTTTAAGATAAGTATGAAGAAGTTGGCTGGTACAATATAGTATTTAAAACTTAAGATACATAATTACACAACATTTTAACAGTCAATATATTGAAACATTAAACAATCCTAATGAACTATCAGTGTATTACGGTCAACATTTTGATAAAAGTTATGTACAGTTGTATAAATTGGTATTAAAACAACAGAGATAAGTGGAATATCCTTAATTACTCGATCTTATTATAAAGGATTGCACACTGGTCCGGTTGTAGCAGGGGTTGTGGGCCTTACTATGCCAAGGTATTGCTTATTTGGTGATACGGTCAACACTGCCTCAAGAATGGAATCAAATGGAGAACGTAAGATCGGTTTCCATTAATTCCATTCACATTTATCTATATTTTTCTTTTGTTTTCTATAAATTTTAAATAGCGTGTTGCATATTGCTAGTTCTAATTTATTAATATTTACATCAATGTAAAACACAATGTAGACAAACTAAAACACTTTATATATTTACACAATATACGAAGAAATATATTTTTTTAACTGAGATAATTGTTGTAAAAGCAAAGTCCTGTGCCTGTGTTTTCATGAAGATAAAACAATTAATTAACTAAAACTACACGTTTTTTTCCTTGAACTTTAAGATAATATTTAATTTCTTAAACATAAAGTATATTAACAAAATTACATTAGCACAAATGTATTTTGTTTCGCTTACCTCTTAATATATTTTCAGCATTGAGGATTCACATCAGTCCTGAGACTAAAGAGGCTTTGAGTTGCTTTCCGAACTTTTTAGTAGAGGAAAGAGGAGTTGTTCCTATAAAAGTAAGGCCCATATTGTTAATAAAAAAGAAACTAAAGTTTAAATTTGCAAAGTTACATCCATCTTTGGTAGTCTGAGCAATTCCATGTATCAAATTATATCAAATACATGTAGATTAAAAATAGTTAAAACATCTATTCAATTTGAAAACAATTTTGTCTACATAAAGACTCATGGGGACCATATGCCGCTTTTCATGGAATGACACTTACGTATCACATTTAAGGTGCCATGATAACCGTCGTATGAACACATCTGCGGATGTTTCAAAATTCAAAATTGTACCAATTCATGATAAATGTTGAATTCTGCTTAAGCCGGTGCTAGGGGCGTGGACGGTAGTTTGCACTTAACAGTACCGTCCATGAACAGGCTCAATCAAACCGAGCCTGCAACATTTTCAATTGTGCCTTGTAAGGCTTTCTTTAGGGATTCTTGTTTCTCTATTTCATTGATATGTATGACATTTTTTCATAATTTTATTATTTTTATCATATTATTTCTGATTCTGTGATATTAGGGAAAAGGACTCATGTGTACTTACTGGCTAAATGGTGAACTTGAAGAACACGCTTGTAAAGAAACCGACTCAGCTAGACTAACAAATGACAAATTGTGTTAAAAGATGGGTGTGCTTTATTTAGGCGAAATAAACAATACTTAAGCATTTGGAAGTAGACATATGTATATGAAATTGAAATGCTATCTTCATTTTGTTTATGTATATTGTAATTTTGTAGTTTTATTTAAAGTATTTCAATTCTATTTTATGAAACTATATACAATTAAAGGGATTCCACCGAGGTTTTTTGACATGCCGGGCCCGGGAATAATTTTCCGAGATAAATGTTCTAACTGATGAAGGTCCAATAACTTTTGTGCAAATTTCAGATCATTTGGTCACTCAGTTTTTTCTAGAATAATTATTCTAATTGTAAAAAATGTGCCAAGTTTATAAAGTGTTGCAACGTTTTTCACTCACATCGGAATAGAATAGAAAAATACGATTTTCGATTTATTTCTGAGTGTATTGCTTTATAACCTTTTGCATATCATTTTGTTTTAATTGTCCGGCTGATCTATGTAAGAAATTCAAATTTCATGTTTTTAGGTTATCGGACCTCAGTAAAAAAACAAAAGCAGAAATAAAGTGTACATTGTATAAACATTTTATTTGATAGTTATGTGGGTGGGGGGGGGAGTGGGAGGGGGTGCTGGTGCTCAACTTTACATCTAAAAATATAGACTGGTCCCCATGCTGCTAAATCTATGACGTATATGGCTGATGGTGTAAACGCTAACATCAGCCGTGACCTTTCAACTAAAGTGAAGCGTAGTTTGAGTTAATTGTAATAGGACCTTACAAGTATCTCCCTTATAATGACAGAATTGTCTTGAGAAACTGCATTCACACGTATAATGCTTCTTATAAATTAGGTTTTGTCACATATACTAAATACTTGGATATGGGATACCGACGGAAATACCGGGAGACACTTAAAATCCGAACATTTCCAAGTATCTTTAATTCTTTAAAAAACAAAACAAAAAACACCTTTTTACTACTAGCATGTAATACCTGCATTTGCTCAGCCTGCAAAATGATTCAGGGAACACTGTGAGATATGTTTCTTAGCCGTTGCTAGGGGGCGTAACTTGCAGTTTTCAACACCGTCCATGAACAGGCTCAATAAAACCGAGCCTGTAGGATTTCCAATTGTGACGTTTCGGACGTTATTTAGGGATTCCGTATTTCTAAATGAAATTGTCGTGTCGTGTATCGGTAAGTGTACCTTAAACTGACGATTCGTTACTATATGCTTCATTTAATATATGAAAAACTATATTGGAATTATGAATATCTTATCAACTGACCACATTTATAATCATATAATATAATATGATATAATATCAAGAACACTGAATGTTACAAAATGCAAGGATTTATTATGAAGTGTCTTTCGGTATATTTCTTGCTCATGGATTTTCTTGAATGTGAACGTTTACACGTCAATTAACATCGTTGGTGGTCTCGTAAGTTTGGACACAGTTTATAAAATTTCATTTTAACCTCAGTAAATTCCTCTGTTGAATAAGTTATTCACTAGTTAATTAATGAAATCTTTAAAGGTGTGTAAAATGGGAAGAAGCACAGGGTTCAAATATTTGAAATATTTGAAATATCCCAGAAATTTTACTATTAAGTTGAATTTATTGAAGAATTAAGACTGTTACTTCTTCCGATGGATCAACCACAGTTTCTGTATAGTGTGCAGGCAGCAAAACTGTTCATTCATTGTAATTCTCTGTTGGCGATAAAATTAAAAATACTCAAAACGTTATGAACCCACAAATCATCTCGAGTTCTTTTATTATCAGTTATTTTCATAGTTAGATTGCTGTGGTCAACGATAAAAAAGCAAATGTGTTATGAAAAAAAAACAAAAAAACAAAAACAAAACAAAACAATAAAAACAACATAAAAACAAACAACAAAAACAACAACAACAAGAATACAAACAAACAAACAAAAAAAAAACAAACAAAAAAACCCACAAAAAACTGGTGTATAAGTTATTCGTTTGAAATATTTACTTTTTCGAATATATTTCATGATCAAAGATGTTCTTTGATACCAACCGTTGTGCTCTTTTTTCTAAGTAGATACATTATTTAATGTGCTAGGTCAAACTTCACAAACTTTGTTTAAGAGACATTCAGATAATTTGCAGATGCATCGTTTGATCACATTGTATCCCATACTATATTATGTGATCTCCAGACTATGTGATGTTATGTTGTGATATACAACGATCCAAGGCTTACATGGCTATATATTTGTCTATAAGGCATTTTATGACGAAGTAATTACAGTATTTTTCCCGGTAAAATCACATAAAACAAGATTACTCTGTCAACATAGACCTAAAAAAGTTACTTGTAGACCAATTTGAAATTATACAGTCACAGACCCCCTCAACAAGTTGATAATCTAATAAAAAAACATATTACAAAAATTGTTGTGTATTTAAGATAATTAAAATGTCGCGTCCCTGAACGAGTGCTTAATGTGTGGATTTAAATCCCGCAAGGGACATTGCATTCTTGAGTGTGCGAAAACTATCAAGTAAGTTACGGAATTTGTCTTTTAAGGTAAAACCCTCCTAATATTATCTCCACATTCATGAGTATTTTTATTGGCTAGAATTTTGTTCAGTTGCGTGTAAAGACGAGATCATTTTTTCCTACTTCTATAAAAGATATACTTGTATATACATGTATATCTCTCAGATACGTTTAGAAAAGATAAGGTGTTCAATTATACAATGGCTAAAATCCTGAATACCTGATATTGTCAAGATCTAATTAAATAAAAATTACATGGTGCAGTCTTTTTATATATGACAATATCAACCAATGTATAGTGATACCTAATTTGAACAATAATTAGCTAAAATGAGTTCATGTTTTTTATATTTTTAAAATATATTCAAACTTATATTACTACTTAATATATTTAAAGAGTTTTCAATTTTTGTTTAAACAAAACACACATCTAGGTGGTACAATCTTAACATCAACATTGCATGAAAATCACAGAAATTTTCAGGTTTTCTATCTTCAATGTAATAATAAACACAACCAATCACAAACAAGATTAGATGCATACATGCAGCAAGAAATTGACTCCGTCTACAAATATTTCATTATTAAATAAATATATGTACAACAATTAAAAATTTTTAAGCATGATTTTTCCGCCTTTTTTAAACCCAAGTAACATACTTTAAAGCATTTTGGCAAAGAGCTTTATAAGATTATTTGGGCAAATTTTTGTCTTGTCCTTCACGCACCTACTTTTATTACACAATTCAAATAGCGTTGACAAAATTTCACTATTGTATGGTCAATATCTTATTTGAATATTTCTTCTTCTGACACTGACAATAACTAAAGTTAACTGATATCGTCTGAGTTTATAACAACTTTATATACTTGACTTATTGAGAGGTCAAGTTCTATAATATGCCATGATTACATTGCACTGTTATAGGAGAGTTACGTAATATTCTGTCAGACTATTTATAATATAAGCTCAATGTATATTTCGTATACACTAATTCAGTGCTAAAATAGCATATTTTGAGCAAATATGGTGTTGGCAAGAAGTATATTTACGAACTTATTAAAGCAAATGAAGGAAAGTGATATATGTTTCGTTGAGTCAATATTCTTCAAAAATTGTATTATCATAAGAAATAATATTTGTTTTGTCGTCGCTTTTTTCCATGTAAGTATCTTATCATTTCGTGTTTAATATTATTTCCGTACATACTGCACACTTCTCTTGATCAAATATTGCAACTATCCAAAGTGTAACTTCTTGGCTGACAACAACGGCAATTTCTTTTGAGATATGATGGTAGCATTCTTATTTTACAATTATCTAAAAGTCTGCATCACAATCCAACAATCCTGTAAGGCTTATGTCGAATAGTTACTTTAAATTCTTAAACCTTATCAATTTAGCCTGTAACATTAGTCATGCTATCCCAGAGGAAGACACAATACTGTTTCTAATTCTGTGGCTCTGGTGCAGACTTGTGCTGACCAAAAAAATCAAATCTGATTCTGATATTGCAATCCATTAGCATTTCATTTCAAATACATCCCAAAAGATAATATTGTGCCAAGAAAGGATTTATAGAAACAAAGGAGATAAGCAACCTAGCCAATATCTAACACTTTAAGCGACACGGATAATAGTTGGTTGTATATCTTTGGTGGCATCACTCCACAGATCGATGGCATTCTCTCATGTAAGATTGGAAAAATTATAAACCATTTCCTGTCTGTGTTATCAAGAAAAAAGGAATTAATGGGAAGATATACGAGAAGAAGTTCGAATGAAGTAAATAAACTTTTCCTCCATTTAATATTTTAAGTGATCAATTGCCATGTCGCGTTTGTACCTAAACTGCGTACTTCGGTGATAGAAGATAAATGATTTTATTTTTTTCACTAATTGTATGAAACGAATGATAGATGTTACATGCTTTTTATCTGTTTATTTTTTTTCAATAATATTCAATCGAAAATATGCACCATTTTGAAATAGACGATTCTTATTTTAAATATTGCTTTGTTTATATTCTTTTAGGACAGAAATAGTACATTTTAAATACCAATAATATTTTTGTCAGACTTCCCTGATATTTATATTTGCCTCTGTGGAATAAAGAGCTGCTATTTCAGCAAAAGAAAAACAAATGAATCGAACTAAACTGACAACGGATTAGTCTTTAGAAATATCATTGGATAATCACCAACCTGACTAATGTAAAGGTACATAATATGCATGATTATAAGTAACGAACGCTGAACTGTCAGACTTGAATTCAACAAATTACGCAAAGTACTCTTAAACTGTCTGGTAATTTGCATACAACTAGTGATATTTTGCATATAGCTAGAAAATATAACCTAATGTTTAATGCTATGAGTTCCAATCAGACACGTTGCGTTAACATGGGATTACAATTCAAGAAAAAGTCACGACTTTAAAATTATTTTTCTTAATGGATTTTCTTCTTTTTTGTCTGACAAAAATCTCATGGGGAATATAAAATTTTCAGATTTATAGCTTTGATTTGTTGCTCCTTATCTCGAGCCATTCTAAAATCAATAAAATATTTTGAAAGTTTCTGGTTATGCAACTAAATTTATCCATTGTCTGTATTTGACCTGGAAAAAAACACACTTTTTAGCAAACTCCATTGTGCTCTTGACTCTGGCGCCGTGTTTGTTGGACTTTGTGTCATGTTTATTGAA